AATATGTTTTGGCCTATATCTCAGGATCAAAAAAGGAAATTTCATGTGTTTATTTCTGTATTAGTATTTTATTTACTAGGGGATAATAAAAATCGTTTTTCGTATATCAAACAAATGACTTAGATTAAAAGTCTAACATGTTGAAAAACGTTTTTATTATAACCTAGAAAATCGTTTTTATTTTCCGCTCATATACAAAAACGTTTTTGAACTGTTATACACTGTTATACAACTGAAAGTGTTCGAAAATTAAAAACGTTTTTATCTTCACGCACATGGGTAATGTTTTGTTTCGTGTGGAACTCACAGAGCATGCCAACATTTTAGCGCCAATGTGATAGTACCTAATATAGTACCGTTTCGAGTTTGAGGAAGCCCAAATGGAATAAATGACACCAAAATGTGTAACGTTTACCAGGCTTTACCGGCTTATTTTAAAATTACTCCTAGGGAGAATATCGCCAGGCAAAACCAAGGGAACTGATGAGGATTGGTGGCTCGTACCCAAAACCATGGTATTCGCTTCCTTACCCCCTGGAAAACATTACATCTTTCCTAGGCATCAGGCCGTTATTATTTTATTATCCAGAAATATTGAACTTTTGTTAGGTTCAAGGACTTCATATGAAATATATGGTCTCTTCAAATGTTGGCCGTATGGGGACGAGGAACCAGATTTGTTTTAAACTTGATCTAAGAGACACCATTATTTGACGAGGTGCGTTTTATACATACTCTGTGTGGGCATATGGCTGAGAAGATAGGGGTGGTTAATGTTTTTGATTTAAACATAAACTGAACGCTTGCCAGTTTGGTTGTAAAAAATACTTAATTATCTGAGTTTAAATGCAAACAATGACAACTAGAGGTGCCACATGACGACCATAGAAGCCGCACTACAATCCATCTTAACGGCATGATTTACACCAAGAACGTGATCAAGTCCGTATTTGCCGGTAAGCGGATCGCTTACAAAAAAAAACACATTCGACCCCATTCATTAACACGCTGATGTGTTTCCACTTTGTATTGTTTATCACTTTTATTTGTAAATTAATTTGATATTATTATTGGTTTCAACGGCTTCGTCTAAAGTTCAGCTTGTGTTTTCCTTATTGAATGGTGCGTGTCTAGAAACGTGATTAGGTGGCAAAATTTGCATATTTTTATGTGAATTTCATACTCTCGCTTGATTGCTCTGCGCCTGTTTTCTGGAACTATGCGGAAAAGATTTTCATAAGTGATCGCATGGGTTGTTTGTGGGACATCTTTGTGGACATAAAGTCCCACATTTTCTTGCGGTTGATTTCTGATGGGCTTTTTGGTGAGGTTATATGAAAGAAAAGCAAACTTGTTTAGCAAGACGTTTCAATGACATTATCAAAGTTTTCAAGAGCCCTTTATTTATTTGTCATAACAATCGTTTATTATTAATACTAAAAACTGGACTACTCTGCACATAATTGTATAGAAGTTGGGAAACTGAAAATTGTGATTGTCTTTAAGTTAATCACCTGCAAAGCAAGCTTGAGTTAAATACTGGAAAATATTAAAAAAAAAACCTCATTTTATTGGAAAAGAAGTAATCGCTTTTAATCGCTTTCATACGATGCGCTTGAAGACAGTGACCATTTCCGGGTTACACCAAATAATTAATATTTCGAATTAATGCCGTTGCTGTTGTTTTAAGATGTTCAAGCCTGAATGCGTATTTACATATTTGACGTCACTTCAATGCAATCGCTAACCATGTTTGAATAACTGGATATGTTGTATCCGACATTCATTTATTCTTTTCATCTATCGAAATGTTGTTGTTTTCATTCTACTGTCAACTCTCTGTGCCGTTGATTGTGGCTGAGCAGAGCGTCACATGTTATCAAAAGCAAATTACGTTTTAAGTTAGGACTTCCGCTACCGGGAAGCAGTTCAAGCCATGGCCTAGTGCGCGTTTCAAAATTTGTTCATGTTGTCGTTTGGTTATTGTAGATCTCTATCTCTACTTCTTTTACAACAAGATGGTGCATAGTTTGTTGTCTGACACTGCTTTAAATGAGATATTCCAAAATATCTTCATACTCCCCCCACTAACTCACTTCGATTCGGATGTTATGCCGTTGGAAATTTGGGTCACCGCGATTTAAAGTGAACTTGTAACACTAATACTCTTTGCTGCGCTCCCATCAAGTGTTTGGCAATACGTATCAACAATTGCCATGCAAGTGTGTATATTTGTATGTAGGTTAGCGGGTGGGTGGCATCCACTTTACATCGAATGATAACAACAAAGCAAACAAACATGAAGTGACTAAGTTATTTGTGGTTAAGACACTAGGCTCAATGACAAATGGGTCATGCAGTTTACAATTTCACAAATCGGAAGTCCTACAAATATGGGCTGGGGGGATATTTGAGACAAACCATTAAAAGAGACAAGTCCAAATTGGATGCATTTTGCACCAAAGCGTTATCCAAACACAATGTGGATGGATTGTTTTTCACATGGCCTTTGAACTGTCAAGATTCCCCTTATTTGCAACAGCTTTATTACTAATACTATTTCAAACGAAATCAAATAGTGAAATTGGACATTAAGTTATGCTTTGATCGTGGAAATCGAGATCCAAGACAAAACAGTTCGATTACTACAAATCGCTCATGTAGACATGTATGTAATTAATCTTCCACATGTCAATTGATTAGAAAAAGATTGCAATATTTGTTTCATTCCGGAATGATGTGGATTGAGCAGGTCTCGCAATGTATTTGAATTGTTACAGTTCAGAAGAAATCCTTTCTCTGCACATCCTTCGTTTAATCTGTGTTGAACGCACATTGCTTCAATTAAACTATTGAAATGTTTCCTTTTTATCCCCCCCGTCAAGACGTTCGATGATTTTTCGTGTGACAGTTTTCAAAATGAGCGCCCTTCCACGCACTAACTTGGCATGTGTGTGACACTCACACCCCCAACACTTTTCATATTCTCAGGGGGTGATCTTCTGTTCTTTCGATTTAATCATATCCCCAACAACAGCAACATGAGGGAGTAGTGTGATGTACCCATGCCGAGAACTACACCAATGTCGGATGGGAGATTGACACCATGCCAAGATATCGTGTGGGACTACAACGCTGCAAGATTTCAATTAGCTCAACTCTGTCTCTGCATGAGTTTTCTTTATTCTCGCCCTGTTTGTTTATCTACACAAGTGGAGTAGCTGGGGCAAAGGGTGGCTGACTGCGTATTCATTGTCTGCTGTTCCCAGCTCTACAATGCGACAATGCAAATTGTTTATAATTATGTAGTTACATGAACATTTTTGTCAAACTGAAAACTCATAAAAATTTAGTTCTTGTGGTTGTTGTAATATTAATTGTCTCGACATCGCCAATGCTTTTGTTTTATTCTGTTTTTTATTTGCCGTCCTTATGTGTGTTTATACCCTCCACCATGCAAAGAAGAGTACATCTAATATACGAAGAGTACATCTAATTTGTGATCAGCGTAAAATTCTAAGTCGATTTAATAATGTGATTTAAATTTGGTATTTGAAACTTGCAATAGATAGCCAACCAACCCTATACCAGAAAATTGTCTATGCAGATTCGATTCTACGACGGAATTCAGCACCTTTTACTTGAAAATAAATGGGTGCTTGACTTCACATTCGCTTTCTCGCTATGTTTTCCAACATATGTGTTGTGTTGTGTGTATGTCCGTGTATTTCATTTCGTTATCGCGTACGACGCATTGCCAATTAATCAAAAGAAGAAAATTAAATCTGATTTTCTATGCGGCAATAATTGATTTTTATGCCAACACTTAAGTGTGAACCCATCACACCGATAACAAATAATACAACAATTATCAATTTAATTTAATTGAATTGTTAATAGGGGTTAGCGTTTGCATTTGATAGTAATATGAACCGGTGAATTCTGGTTAGAGTGAACGAGCCCCATATTAAAGAGTTCGAAGATGAAGAATGCCAAAGTATATTACTGATGTTTCGAAAGCAATCAAACAATCGTTATTAGGAATCAATTTGACACTTGTTCCAAAAACCATCTGATTTGTTATTGGAAATGTGTACATGATCAGGATTCTTAACTTGCAAGACCTATTATGAATTTTAGATGCCTCAGCATTTCGTGCGATTTACGTACCAACAGCATGGGGAATGTACATTTCATACATTCATACTTATGTACATGGTTCAAGGAAACGAAAAAGAAAATATTCGTCATTACTTTTGCTTTATTATCCATGTGTTGAATTAGCTGAATATTATGCGGTCGACTTTATTCAAACAACAGATACCCAGTTCCCATACAAGCGAAGAAATCACATGAATTTTTTAGTCCCAAGAGTTGACGGGTTTAGTATTAAAAGAGTATTTAAAAGTTTGGTTGGGAAGTATGATAGGAACCATCAAATTGGAGAGATGTAAGTGCGACCAGAAGACTAATGCCTACAAAATTTTATAACTATGCCACAATTGTGAACCGCTCAGCATGACATTTTCCATGGTAACAATTATAGTCTAGTCCAAGTGAAACATTTATAGATTTCCCCATATTTTGTGGGTGAGAATGGGCAAAGGTTTAAATTTAAGTTGCTTTACGTTCTGTCCTGGTGTTTTGTTTTAAATGAATTTCTTGTTTATTTTGTTACTAACCACTTCATGTTATCCACATTAGTTGTAAATCCTTGATTTGACGAAGGCGAAGCAAACGTTTCAGAAGCGGCCAGCTTTTAATCAGCTGTTAAGCTCAGTACGTGCACATTTGAACGTCGCTATTCCTCTACATGTCCATGGAAAATTAGGGGTTGTTAAGGACATTTGGAGCAGATAAATACCGATACATGTTTCCACTCTTCCCGTTTGACATTTACGAAAAGCGTCGAGAGAGTATTGATTTTCTCAGTGAAGAAAATCAAGGAAAGTCCAAGTGTTTGTGCTAAGAAAAACAACAATAATAAATACAACGCTTACCTTTTTCGTTTTCTTAAAATGAATTGTTAATTTAAGCTTATCGCAGTGCTGCTACAACTCCAAAGCCGTTTTTGTTGTCAGCTGTTTTTGTTGTTTCTGTTGCTAAATCAAGTTGGCTTAAATCGAGTGGTCTGGTAGCGTTCTTCTGGTGCTTTTGTTTGACTTGTTTTTCTTTTGTGTGAAGCTATTTATATTTTTTGTGTTTCGCTGGATTCGACATTGCGTTAAAAATCTCAAGGTGTAGAGCTGTTAAAAAACTGAGATAATTTTTTGATTTGCCAGGATATCTTCTGGATGTTTTCTTGGCCAGGAGAACTGTAATTGCACAATTGTAATGGATTTGGCTTAAAATGTCACACACACAAACGCCCAACACTTTGGTAAATATCGACGAATCTCACGAATATTATTATTTATTTTTTGTTGGACGATTAATATTTTCTTGCTCTGTTTCTATTTTGCTTTTTTTTTGTTTTACAACAACACCACTCCACCGAATAGAACAGGATCAAGTTTGACTTTGAATTTGTATCACAGAACTGAATTTACAATTACTCTATTTGTCTTATTTGTTTTTTTATTTTTTCTTCTGACACCAGACAAAACCTATCGCACGGCGCACGTCCTCCCTGTTCGGCGGTTGTATACACTCTTACGACTGACTAGGGATACGTAAGTCGACTTTTGTTTGATTAATCGAAAAATCCAAAAGCTAAACTCGCAAAGTCGATCTTTTGTAATCGATTTTGAAATCATCGATTTTATAATTTTCTTTTTAATATGACCTTCGCGATTACGGCTAGTCTACACATCGTCAAGCGTACAAGATTTAAAAGTTGAACAACTTTAAAATTGACTGAACGACTTTTTTTAATTCAATACAATAATAAAATTCAATATAAAATATTTGTGTGTGGTAACTCACCTAATTGGAATCGACGGTGTTGTCAGAACTCGTTTCTGCTGTCCAATTAGAAGAACATCAATGGTCGGTTTTACAAAGCAAAATAAATCTGCACATTTGTCAACAGTTTTCTAACTCCTTCTCCTTGACATTGGTCCACGAAAGAATTCAAACGACACTTACCGAACCGATGACATTAACGACATAAGTTAATTTATTAATTTGCGTTTCCGATCTAAAGATTAAAATTGGAATCCGAACGCACGAAAAATCTACGGAACGGCAACATTCTGAGCACGAACTATTCAAAACACACACACACAAATTATGTTAACAGCACAACTCATAAGCAAGAGAACAACAAGAGAGTATTCTCATCGGAAAGTGAAAAAGAAATCATTATTTTTCAATTATATTTCACCAGGATTTATTGAAAATCAATATTTCTCATCTTTTTTACAATTATTTTAATCTTAAATTGCAAATGTGCCAATAATGAACTTCACTCGCGAGTCGCGTCCGGCCGCCAAAAAAAAAAAAAAAAACAGAACGATAACTGAAGAGGAGGAATTTGCAGAAATAGTGTAGTCAACTTTGCAAACGATCGAAATAATCGCCAAAATGAAACATTCTGATAAAACCCGTTGTGCATTCAAAATTTGAAATGTTGCAAAAGGCACTATGTTCCATGCCCTGTTTCAGAACAAGCAAGAATGTAATAGTTTTGCAATTGTTTTCGATATCGTAAACGGAAAATCGGGCCAATACATTACTGGTATGTTCCATTTTTTTGTCGAAGCAATTTTTTTTAATATTTGCAGAAAGCTCTTCTTTTCCAACTTTCTGCTAATATTCCAATTCTTGGACAAAAAGCGTACCTCGCATGAGGGAGAGAACAAAATCTACTTTCGTTTGAATGTTCATACGCCATTCAACATTATATTTTCATTCGTAATTTTCAATTAATAATAATAATTAATAATAATTTTTTTCTGTTTTGAATTGTTAAATGTCATCATTTATTTCTTCGATAAATGCTCGCACATTTTTATACCCTACACCACAAGGTGGTCAGGGTATTATGTCTTTGTGCATTTGTTTGTAACAGGCAAAAGGAAACGAGATAGACCCATAGTTCCTTTTGATGATCTGCATAGAATCACATTCTGAGTCGATTTATGCATGTCCGTCCGTCCGTCTGTCCGTCCGTCTGTCCGTCCGTCCGTCCGTCCGTCCGTCTGTCCATGTATTTTTGTAAACAAAGTACAGGTCGCATTTATTGCCCGATCCAGATGAAATTTTGCACAGATCATTTGTTTGGCCCAAGGACGAACCCTATTGAAATTGGAGATAATCGGTCAAAATTTAGATATAGCTCCCATATATATCTTCGTCCGATTTGCCTTTTATTGTGCACCAAACGTGTAATATCAGCCCGAATTGTATGGAATTTTGCACATACAACCAAATTAGGCCTGAAAATATGTATGCCAAATTTGATCGAAATCGGTTCAGATATAGCTATAGCTCCCATATATATTGTTCATCCGATTTGTTATTTTTGTCCACCGCTGCCGTAATATGCACTCAGCAACAACAATATTTAGGGAAATATATCAAATACAGCTCAGAAATACATTTGCAAAATTTTATCGACATCGGTTCAGATTTGGATATAGCTCCCATATATAACTTCTGCCGATTTACCTTTTATTGTGCACCAAACGTCTAATATTTGTCCAAATGGGATGGAATTTGGCACATACGACCGAATTGAGTCTAGAAGCTAGCATGTCAAATTTGGTGAAGATCGGTTCAGATATAGCTATAGCCTCCATATATATTATTCAACCGATTTGTTATATTTGTTACCCACAACCGTAATATGCACTCCGTAACAACGATATTCAGGGAAATATATCAAATACAGCTCAGAAATATCTTTGCCAAATTTTATCATGATCGGTTCAGATTTGGATATAGCTCCAATATATATATTTATCCGATTTCAAATTAATTGTGCACCAAATGGTCAATACAAGTCCGAATTTAAAAGATACAAATGCTTCGGCATGTTTAGTCCTTTGAACTTTAAATTATAATTATAATCATAGCGTGTATGATTGAATTCTCCCATAAAAACTTTTAATTGTTATGTGGAGCTCTACTAAATTAGCAAAGTGGTGTAGGGTATCATAAAGTCGGCCCCGCCCGACTTTAAGACTTTCTTTACTGGTTCATCTTAGTTCTGTGAGTGATTTGAATGGAAAAAAGGGGCAAAAATCTTTGTTAGCTCAGCAAATTTTGTGTGGGGGACTAAGAAGGTATTTAATAAATGGCGATTATTTCGATAATTAATGAACGATCAACGAATAGAGAGCGAATCACGTGCCAAGCGAAGTTAACATAAGACCCGAATACATATCATGTTAGGGTCATATGTAAAATTACTTTATTAAGGCCCGATTACACATTATGTTAAAGTCATCATACATTTTTTAGAAAATTTTGAGGAGCTCTCAACAATTTTCAAACTTAAAAGTAACGCTATACTATATCAAATACATAAAACTATAAAGACTGGACAAAATGTATATGGGCTTTAATTTTTCTATTAGGTAGTAGATGAAAGGCGGCATAACAGAAATGCATTGGAAATTTTAGAAAAATATGTTATTCCGATATCGCCGAAAAATGACGGAAATACGCGGAAAAAAATATCAGTTATGATAGACATGCTCTCAAAAATCTATTCCAGAGCATTTCCTTGTACATTGAATCGATAAAAATCAACAACAGCCTTTAAAATGTGTCAGCTCCGTTAAATTATAACCTAATGCTATGACACGATATCGTGACATAACATTTTTTTTTTTTTGCACTACCAACGCCATCTTTTGAAGACGATTAACAATGTAATGTCCCATCTTATTATATTATATGTCTTTGACTATATAAATTTCACACTATATATTGCAATATAAACACACATATTCTTGCATTTCAGATCAAATATTCTGGGGAGAGTTTAAAGGTATGCTATAAAAATGCATAGCATGATATGTAATCGCATTGCAATGCATTTTTTTAGATGACTTAATTTTGGCGATTATTTCGATCGATTGCAAAGTTGACTACACTGTTTCTGATAATTCGTCCTCTTCAGTTTTCCTTCTGTTTTTTTGGCGGCCAGTCGCGACTCGCGAGTGCAGTTCATTATGGGCACATTTATAATTTAAGCGCGTCCTAGATAAAAAATAATTGGAAAAATGAAGAGAAATATTGATTTTCAATATCTCCCAGTGGAAAATAATCGAAAAATAGTGTTTCCTTTTTTACTTTCCGATGAGATTACACTCTTGTTGTTCCCTTGCTCATGAGTTGTGCTGTTAACATTATTCTGTGTGTGCGTATGTTTTGATGAGAGTTAATCTGTTCTCAGTTCGGGGTTTTCGCTGTTTTCGTGTTTGGATTTTTGTCGATCCGTAGATATTTCGTGCGTTCGGATTCCAATGTTGATCTTTAGCTCGGAAATGCAAAGTAATAAATGAACCTTATGTCGTTAAAGTCGTCGGTTCGGTTAGTGTCGTTTGAATTCGTTTGCTTTGAATAACTGATTAACGACGTTATTCTAATTGGACAGCTGAAACGAGTTTTGGCATCGTCACTTCCAACTATTCCTTTGCCTAAAGATGCCACATTACAGGGTATTTCAACACATTGACACCAAGTGAATTAATCGTTGTTGTTATATCGCATCGTACATATCATGGTAGAAGAATATAGGCAGACGCATCGACACAGCTGCTGGGACAATGAACTGTCAAACCAATTTTGGGATTGAAAATGTTGAATGAAAAATTATAAAAAAATTTATAAAAATTGCTGGAAAACACGAATTACAATAACCTCCGAATGACGTCGTATAAGAAAACATATTAAAATCTAATTACATTTTAAGGAACATTTAATTTTTTTTTTGACATATCAATGCTCCCACGCTTTGATGCATCTACCTGTGTTCTTCTGCCATGGTACATATCAATGTTACGTAATGTTAAAAGTAGGTGCAATACTCAATTAATTAACACATCAATGGAAGAATGCAATTTGTTGCGCATGTTTTTGATTTACCGAAAATATTATTTGTCATGCTACTCTACAATTGTATTTTTAAAATTATCATGCCCCTCTATGTTGCGAGTAGCGCCTATATATATTTTTTCCGATGAATGATTATTTATTAAAGGCATTTTGTCAAGTCTACCATTCCATGGCTTTGTTAACTTTTACCAAAGACGTGAAATGGTAAAGGCTAGTCAGCATGCATTGTGTGAGGAAGGGCATGGATATTCCACCATCCACACTGGTATCCCAACGCTGTTTAGGCGTTTACACGCAACAATTTACTAGTGTGTATCTTTAGTAATAAGTGAGGCAGCGCAGGCAAAAACCGAAATGGTGTCAAGGTTGATGTCATGGCTGGGAGCGCTTGTGGTAGCGGTTTGTCTTGGCTAAACATAGATAAGATGTGTTTAGGTTGAACTGATGCATTAAAGTTCTGACACGAATCACTGGGTGTGCTGTTCCTGTGACAGCCAAGACAGCAACATGTTGATTGTTGAAGTGGTGTGTTAGATGGCGCTTGTAGAAAGGGGATATGTTATGAAATATTGTGTGTGTGTGTGTATGTGTGTTCACTTGATATCTTATTAACTGTCTCTACCAAATGTTAGATGATGTTGTCTGCTTTTCAAAAGTCCTTTACAATGGAGCGAATCGAAAGAGATATTGTGTCAGTTATGAGTTTATTGGATGTTTTTATACCCTCCACAATACATAGTATGGAGGGTATATTAAGTTCGGCATTTTCAATTTTAGACCCAACAAAGTATATACATATATTCTTTGTCAGAGTAAAATTCTAAGACGATTTTGCCCTGTCCTTCCGTCAAGCTAGAGTGACAACGAATAAAGATAGAAAGCTAAAAATTTGCACCGATTTGTCTGCATGCAGGTCAAGTTGGAAGATGGGCTATATCGGTCCACGATATCGTAAAGTCCCCATATAACGGTACCCCCGATATTCTGTATTTTAACGATTTTGAAGGCGGCATTTTCAATGGAATTTTCCGATATTCTACACAAGGAGTTCTTCGTGACTACTTTACCCCCTGAAAAAGAATTGCCTATATATGTCCGCAATGTCATACATCCCTCATATAACTGTAACTCCCGATATTCGGTATTTTGATGATTTTGGACACATTTTTCAATAGAGAGAGAGAGTAAGAGAATTGTCTATATAGATCCACGATATCGTATAGCCCCCATACAATGGTGATATTCGATATTTTGATGATTTTAGCCACATTTTTCTTGGAACTGGCTTAAAATCCACACAAGGAGTTCCCTCTGAGTACCTAATCCCCTGAAAGAGAAAAGTATATATAGGTCCATGATATCTTATATCCCCCATGTAACTATACCTCCTGACAATTTCGTATTTGAAGTTCGTAATGGGTACTACAAGCAAAGATACTTTAGGGCCCTCAGCTGAGGTGATGCGACTACCTATTGTAGACCTAATAGGTAGTCGCATCACCATGCTTGCCATGCTCTCTACTATAAAAGTAAAGAAAAAACATACCCAAGAGAGAGCGTGGAAAATCCGGACAAACGGTGTGTTCGGAGTTTGCGACACAGAAATAAATGAGTGAATAATGTTGACGTCTTGTTTCAATATCTTGTATTTCAATGGTTTTTATTTTTGATATTCTGAATTATTACAATACTTGTTTTATTTTATTTTTTTTGAGAAAGTTAAATATTAAACTGGGGTTTTCATATTTTTGCCACCTGTATTTTCTTTGTTGTTATTATTTTTTTTTTTCTTTACAGATTCCAAATAAATTATGTATATAATCTTCGATTTTATTCTACAGAAATCATGCACTGCTCGGCTCAAAATTGAGTGAGATCTCTGCCTCTTTCACAATCTTGATCTACAAAATAGATTCAAGTACTATGTCTGTATGAGTGTATATTGTATTGTATGGTATGACCGAATGTATATATTCCTCTAGAAAATGCTTTATTTTTGAAAAATCGCTTTTGTTTTGGGAGTTAATAAATATTATCTACATTCATGTTCATCTGTTTACCCTGTTTTCAAATTGTAAGGAGTTGTAGGTGTGAGTGTGTTTCGGTTAACCAATCAGCCTGATGTCCGCCGACCACGAACGGCGGTACCCAAATTAGCCTTGCTTTGCCTATTTAGTTTCTAATAAATTCAGAGTTCGCTTTCTTGCCTAGCTTGCAAGGTGCGTCAATTGGAATTCTTACTATTCTGATTTGTACATGAAGGGGTTCGGAAAGAGTGCTACTTCTTTCTCGATTTTGTATTTGTGGCGTTTTCGTTCTACAGCGTATACCATATTTGTTGATGTTTTTTTTTGTTTTTCACTTTCATGAAAAGACTTCATTCGTCTTCATGTTGAGGGGGGTTGCTGGAGTGCGGGACCACAGTCCGCACTCCGCACTCCACATTCCATATTCGATTTTTATTCTTTATTTAATTTAGCGAGTATTAAGTCCCTTTTTGGTTTAATTAAGGAAGTCCTTTACTGTTCTCTGTACAAAAAGTAAAGTAGAAAAAAAAGTCACAAGTCAGGTTTTGCTTTTTAAAATTGGTTTATGTTTGTATTTTCTGTACACGAATATTTGTATGTATGTATGTATGTATTAAATGGGTTTGTGTGTATGTTGGAGTGGTTATGCTTTATTGCCTATTTGCTAAACATTAAACTAAATTCATACAATTCTTACTACTATATCTATGTTGATTTATTTGTTGTTGGTTTTGTGCATAAATTAAAGTAACTTGTATCTGAGTATTTGTAAATATGTGTATGTGTGTATATACGATTATTTGTCATTTTCTACAATTGCTGGGAGAATGGGAGGGGAGGGGCGATATCGTTGAGTTTTGGTACTGTCATAATACTATTCTGTGTTGTTGTCCTTGGTCCAGCATTGTCGTCGGGACCTTGGGCGTCTTAGATCTAGTTTTTATTCTACTCGCTTCTCTTCGTACTATTTACAAGCCGATTTTGATTTATACGAAAACATAACTTTTGTTCTAACATAATAAAGCATTTTAAATTGGGGACAAAATCACACTCGGGCTTTGTAAGCCCTGCCTGCGATTGGAAAACAAAAAAAAAAAAAATAAAAATATTAATTAAATAAGCATCTACTTAAATATGGGAGATATAGGAACTAAAAATACCAAAGAACAAGCTCTTCGGTCCAAACTAAAAAAAGGGTGAATCGTTGTTCGGAAATGGAAGAAAACTTAAAATAAACAGCCTTACATATACATACGGGTATTATTTGTCTTTGTATTCGTTTATGTGTATCTGTGTGTGTGTGTTTGTGTATTTTTACAAAGGAAACATTTCTAAAATTGTATATATGCCTAGGCTAGAGGTTAGGGGAGAAAATATTGCAAATTAATTACACATTAAGTCACAGTTGTTGTTGTTGTTGGTTTTGTTATTGGCTAATTTATAGTTCTACAGATATCCAGCCCATGGGCGACCTTGAGCATTTCCACGTTGCTTATGTCCTGACCACTGCCGGCGACTGCATGCCCAGGTAGGTGTCGCCAGGCATGTTGGCCTTGGTGCTGTAGCTGCTATCCATACTTGAGGGGTGCATTTCGTGCATTCTTAGATGCCTTTTCCGATAACGTCGCAGCTTCTTACGAGCCATGTAGAGATTTTGATTGAATTCCTTGAAAATATGCGGACGAAAATGGTCCTTGTCTTCATCGGGGGCACTTCCGCTTCGGCTTATTGCACAACGCAGACCACCATCGCTAGCGTCGGGGTGGTTTGATGACGGCGTGGGTAGTTGAGACAGGTTGTGAGGTGGTGGCGGTACAAGGTCAAATCCATTGTGTTCTGGCGGCGGGAATACAAGCGGGTTGTTCGCCCAGTCCCGCCACAAATTTCAATCTTGCCCAGCGCCATTTTGTTGGGACAGTGAGGAGGTGGATGAGTTGTTGGCTGGCATGAGCTCATTGTGACGGTGGCGGTCCTCGCGACCCATTGAGAACTCGTCGTCTACGGAGGAAGATTGCTTAGAGCGGTCGGATTTGCAGTCTTCATCCATGACCATGGAATGGTGCATGGCCGCAGCGGCGGCAGCTGCATGCTGTCTTTCCGAGGGAGGTAACAGGTTCAACATACTTAGGGGAAGGCCCGGAAAACCTCCCGGGAAATCGGGATAGAATCCTTGGGGATTGAAGGGATTGAAAAGGGAATTCGGTCCTCCCAACAGGTCGGGCTCCGAGCTGGAACTGCGTGGCCCTGAACCTGCCATGGGACCGCCACAAACCAAATCCATGTCGTTGGCATTCGTCGAGTTGTTGCTATTTCGTTGAGCCTCCTTCCGCGCCTCCTTCTGCTCCCTAGTCTCTGACGAATTCTTGCTACTCGAATTCGACGAAGAAGAATTCACACCCATTTGCAACAGCTCCAAAGGCGGGCCGCTAATACAATCTTTGCGTAGCTGTTCCAGCTTCAGACTCTTGCCGTATTTGCCGCGAACATACATCAGCAGCGAGTTGTAGGGTATGCCAAAGATACGGGAGGCCTGCGACGTGGTCATTTTCTTATTCCAAACGTGCTGCAGCGCTTCAGTGAGCTCCGCATTCGTCCACGAACGGGGTGGGCCACCCCGAGGAGCCGAGTGCTGACCTTTGGGACGGGGCACTAGAAACAAAAACAATAAACAAAACAAATATTAATAAAAAGATAATCTTGGCACTAATGTTTTAATTTTTTGTATCTCTTCGGATTGCCCAAAAACAATTCGCTTTCCAGTCTCTCAGCACTCCATAACGGCACTCGTTGCAGTGAGCCAAGCCAACGAACGGCGGAAAAAACCTCATCACCCACACCCAGTGGAGTTGCGGCAACAGAGATTGCTACATTGCACACTATCAGTGATCACACTGTGGTGGTTCCATATGCAAATTATGCACCACATATTCCCGCCGAGCCGTCATCGTCATCGTCATCTCCATCGCCAGCAACCAAAGCGAACACAATTTGTTGTTGCCCAGACAGACAACAGCAATCCTTTCAACTTCAATAAAAATCCAAACCAAATACCGAAGATCTCAATTGTGAGCTCTGTATATGTGCATGGCTATGGGAGGGTGTGTGTGTGTTACTCTGTGTATTGGCTACATCCACGCCAAGAGATGTTATCGCTTGGCAATCTTATTGCCACAGGTTGTTGCCAAAACTGCAATGTTGACGACAGAATCGGCATTGAACCCACAATACCACATTCAACGGCAACAACAATGCAACATGTGATCTTCTGCGCTGACTTACATCGACAACATGAGTTAATCGAATCAAATAGGTATTTATGCATGTGTGTGTGTGTGTGTGTGTGTGCATGCTTGTAGCTCGGATACACTCATAAAAATATTACAGCCTGGAATCAGGACAGTACTTCCCATTGACTTTCTTCTTTGTGACCCCACATGGCCAAAAAGGTCAACACGTTTTCCGAGTAACTAAATCAGTAGTGTTCTGCCAGAACAACCGACCCCTCTATCCCTCCTCCTCTAACCACTGCTATGCCTCGTTCATAGTAGAGCCCTACTATCAATTCCTTAAAAATCTTCATATCATATTTCAAATGTTTAAATACTGGCACAATTATTAGTTCCCCCTGTCGCCACGGGTTGTTGCTACTTTACCATTGTCAGGCTCTCAAAAGGATGGCGGCGGAGTGGGATGGAAGCACCCAAAAGTATTTGTAACAAATCTTAAATCACGTTTAAAATGTGAACAAATCAGTTAATCACACCGACACAACGAGATCGGTTGTTCCCAGTGTGTAGCGGGTGCGGTGTATTAAGGCTGTCACTGTGCGCGTAATCCACCCTGCCTGCTGCATTGCCATGCTGGAGTACGAATCAGTTGTGGTACATTTCAAAACCAAATGGATTTTCGCGAACTACTTCCGATTGCCAAGCTGCATGTCTGTTGTATGGCTCTCGAACAATGGCGAAACCCATTCGAAACATTGCATTTTCACTTACGACGACACTTTGCAGTGAGCGAGTGAGAACCGCAATTGAAACAAACGACACTGAGTTACAGTGCCTTGGAATCATGTGAGGCGGCAAATTCAATTTTGCGGTTTTCCTGCACTGGCTCCATTGTGCATGTGCACCTATGCATGTCAGTCGTCCGTCATTGATTGCAGTGGCAATCACAGTTCGATTATTGCCCTATGTTGTCTTGCCCCGACACCGGTCTCGCCACTAAACGGTGTGATCGGTAACGCAATCTGTTGCAACAATACCAGAAACAGTTCGTGTATGCGGCCATAATTCATATCCGCTGTCATATAAAAACGTCTCATTTAGGGCAATAAGTGTAAGAAACCTCAAAAGTATTAATGGATTTGCCCAGAGAATCTTGGGTTTTCTATCACCAGTCGAATGCGTTACAATTTGGGACAAATGATTGACAGGTCTACATTAGCAGTTGCGCTAGTTGGTGTGCGAGTGTGTGTGTGTTGTGTGAACGACTTCTGTAGACATGATGGCGAACTGAACTGAATTGAAGAATAAACTGCAATTTCATTTTTAGATCACTTATCTCAACCTTTGATCTGCCAAAGGCTTTTTGGATCGAATCCGAAGAGAAAGTTTGAAAAAGATGCGGATGTTGGATTCGATGACTGTTTCTGATCTATACTTACTTTTCTTTTTGAGGAACGGCGGTGTTTCACCGGGCATTCCCCGCGGATCTGACATTTCCATGAGTGGGTTGTAAAGTTTTCCAGGATCAATGCCCGGCGGAAAGAGGCCCAATGGAGAGTCCAATCCAAACACTGTAAATGTAAGAAAAACAATTCTAAATTATAGAAACACATATATATTGCGTTGAAATGAGAAAATCATATCATGCTCTACCAACCAAAAACAAAAACAAAAAAAAAAAAACAAAGTCCCTGCGTCCGTAACTATCGTTCTTAGTTATGCTTAGGGAGTACGGGAGTACAATTTACTTCCATTAGGGTAATTTTTTCACAATATTTTTTTTTGCCAATAACTCATAAATTTATGCGGGAAAATATTGGAGCAATGATTTAAATTGACAGTACAAGGGTAGGCCCCCCTACATTCGCATCGAATTTGACAAACAAATCGATTCACTAGCTGTGACAGAGTATTTCAACAACAACAATGAAAAACAACCTTCATTCATTCATTCCTTTGCTCATAACCCGAAGAAAGTTTTCGTTTTTAATGCCCCTTTTAAAGAAACATTAGAAATGAAAAGAAAACTTTGACTGAAGCGCAAAAGAGATCCCCACCACATCCACATTCGTGAGCCAGGCCAGGCCAGGCAGATAAAAACGGAACTTCTTTACATCCACATTGCGCATACGAGTATTAATAATATCCGTTTGCTGAGGAAAAACTCCTACGTTCGAGGAAAGGAAGACGTTGCCCCACTGCCAGGCAGGGAGACATGCATTCGCTTCATCCTTGTATTTATTTTGCCTTGAAGAGTGTATTCCTGCATGCAGTCAAGCGCCTTCCTCCACACACACACTGCTGCACAAATAGACATGTGAGCGGACAGACGGCCGCAAGGACTCCGCAGGATGTACAAACAAAGTTAAGGACTCTGCCAGAAGAATTACCGCCACCAGTTGTCGTGTGCGAAGGTAATGCGACAAAATACACCATATATGGCAATAAAGAGCGTTTTGTGGTAGCAAATGCCGGGGGTACTAATCGCAAGAGGAATGAGTATCGCGGAAATGCGAAATTGCCGAAATCATGGAATGGAAAACTCGCGGAGTAATTGTGTGCCAAAATCCACATTCAAATAGTGGAACACAAATAAACAAGAAGCGCGAGCAAGGCCATGTGACGTTACTATCCCCCAATGGCGCGAGAGGCATGGTGGTCAGGAATCGCGGTGGCTTTATTGCCAAATAAACGACAGCACCAAGAAAAAGAAGAAGAGAGCACAATTCGAATCTATCCATTCGTAAGTTAATGGAGAAAACTCACATGACATTCGCGTTAGCAAAGACGGCGGCTCGTTATTTTCAGATGTTTGACGCAATCATGCCCCGTTCGCCGGAATAGAAGCAGAAAAACTTCATCCCAGCCCATTCGCTATGCTGTTTGTTACATTTTCTTATGAACGAAAGTATGACACGTCTTGGCGTCGTCTTTCGCTCCGATTGAGGATTTATTGTATTCAAATGTATTCCGAGAATGTGCTTCACCTCACCGAAGCAGAACAGTCTCTAGCCATTGTTTGAACCGCAGCTCGTACACACACAACCTCCACATGAGTGCACGACAACGCTACACATAACGCAATCATTCACATCCTCATTCAATTCCGTGTCTGTCCAATCCCCCACGCCCCCACGCCCCCTCACCTCCTCGGCTTTTTTCATATTCACAATTGATTTGCTCAATGTCAATATAATATGCGTTGTCATATGCTTCGTAGAAGGACTAGCCGTCTTATTCGAATCGAGTGGCGAACGGTGAACATGTTAGGAATCCGACCTCATCCCTCTCCCCCATCGCAACTACTACATTTTTTCCATTATTCAAAATCCTATTGTTTCTACAAATTAAGGTATATTCATCATTCATCTTGCAGCTAGGCGATTGAAGCTGCAGTACTATTTGAACAAAGCGACTTCAAGGATACAATTTTAATAGAATAATAAGTGAGATGGTAGGACGTCGCCTCAGCCCAGATGCGGCAAACGAGAAGATCTGTTCATGGCAAACTTGAATTGACGACATCGACCAAATTATGTATTGAGAGCAGGGCTCTGGCGCCGAAAATACGAAATCAATGGACAGGCCCTTCACGTTATAGGTATTCGTAGGGGATAAAGATCTGATCAAATCCGTCATCACAAAGTAAATGTTCGAAGCATATTTCCTCTTTAAATAGCGGTTCCTTACAGAAGCTGTGATACCCAAGTACGCAAACGGGCTAAAGAATATTTCTCTTTTTGCCAGAGGTTAATGTTGTTATAACACCACCACCACCTCCACCACCATCAGCACCCATCCATTCAAGTCCCAGTGGAAATGGCACTTACATAATTCGATATTACAATTCAAAGAGTAGATGATAGGAGGAACATACTTGGAAGAACAATTTGCAGTAACCCACAACTGTTGCATATCGACGTCCGCCTTCCAAGGAAGCAACGCAAAGTGGTAGTGGAGGGGGCCTCCCATAACATATGTTGCCTGTTGCAAAAACGCACTGCCATTATCCTCGTGGTCTTAGTCATCGTCATGTGTCATAAGTAGCACATCCAAGTGATGATAATGTGAAGGACATGGCGGAGAAGCATCCCGCAACTGGTCGGTGGGAAGAACTTGCTCCATTATTAGCAATGATGCTGTATAGCAGGGCAATATTTCGAAAACGAAAAAGGAAGACAAGGACTCGTAAAAGTCAAATGAAAATGAAAAACAAAAACATGTCACGTTTAAATCGCGAAAACAAATGCTCTGCCAGCTGAGAGGTTCTGCAACAACATCAGATTGACAAAGTAAACATCATGTCGTTGCACGAATCTGCAGTGCTACATCAAAGGACGTCAATATCTATGTATGTGTGTGTGTGTGTGACAACGACGTGTATGTGAATGCGTCGTTGTTGACAAGGTTGAAAGCGTATTTGAGAAAACAGTTATTAAGGATTTCCGCTTGTTTTATGAGGAGTTAATATGTTTGACTTTTCCCTGAAGCTTTACAGCTGGTTCGCTTAGGGTTTGCATAGAAAGGGTGGCACAAGTGCGGGGACTCTACTTGCATTCTAGTCTAATAAATAGTCTACTTCTACTTGCTACTCACTGTGCGGTGGCGTTAAGGCCAGAGCTGACGACATACCGGGGAAGGGCAATGGCGAGGGCGGGTGCGGTGGTCCATCTTGGGGATTGTATGGGGGCGGCAGGCTCATGGGGGAGGTGGGTGTAAATTCCTTACTCAAGCGATTCATACTCTCCTCCAAGCGTTCATGGGCCGAAGGACCTCCCGGACCACCGCTGGGTGGAGCTCCGGGGCCGGAACAAAAAGGCGGCATACCCGGCATTCCCATTTGTCCTAAAATGCTACTGGCGTAAGCATTGTGTTGCTGCATTTCGCGCTGTTCTCTCTGCATGGCGTGGTCGCGTTCGCGCGACTGCTGGTGGGACACCGCTGCCGCCGCCGCTGCTGCAGCCAACGAGAGATCCATTTGATGTTCCATGTGCTGAAAAGGGTTTTCACCGTTCGCCGCTGCAGCTGCTGCGCATGCTGCGGCTGCTTGCATTTGAGCTTCTAAGGCTTCTATTTTGCACTGATTTTCCATTGAGGAGCGGTCCAAGCGCAGGTCTCGCAAACTTGTTGCGGAAAAGGGATTCAGGTTGTTCGATGCGGAGTTGGGTGTGGAGGAGGAAGGTTTGTTGAGTTGGCGTATATCTTTGAGGGAGAGCACAATACGATTGCCGTTGTTATTGTTGTGGTTGTTGTTCAATTTGGAGCTGTTGTTGTTGTTGTTCGAGGCGTCTTCATTGTCAGAAGCCGAATGATGTCCACTCGTGTCGTTGTCCTTTTTCGTTGTACACAAGTCCTCGGGACCATCGGAGTGAACGGACAAGGCGGATTTCCGTCTCCTGTTCAGTTCATTGGTGCTGTTGATGAGCTCTTCAATGTCCTCAGGCTCTTCGTTATCGTCCTCCTCCAAGTCTTCGGCCTCAGCTAATGGGGCTTGATGCCGTTCATTCTCAAAGGGGCACTTGCCACTAGCTAGGTTATCGCTTAGCTCTTCGGGGTGGTCGTGGCTATCGTTTCCACTGTCGTGCTCACCGGCATTAGAGTCGTCGTCCTCCAACGTCTCGGATATTTCAGATTTGATCACAGTTTTGAGCGCATCTAAGCTTTCTCTGTCTTCTGCAGCTGGAACACCCACGGACTTGGCCTCCACAGGAGTCTGTTGTCCATCATTATTTTGAGAACAATCGACGGAGGGTAAAGGAGTAGGGGGCTTGTTGCCGATCATGTCGTGCGTCAATTCTCCCGACCTTCTTCTCGGTCTGGCCTGCTTGCGTCTTGGCATGGGCGAAGTGCACAGATCGTTGTTGGTCAGTGAATCGTTCAACAACTCATGGTCACTTTCGAAATCGGGTTCCAGTTCCCGTTCCCGTTTTCGTTCCTTTTCGCGCCGATATGACCCACCAAATAGCCTAGAGGGCAGAATAATTTTTGAGCCTTGCGTAACCATGGAGGGTGATTCCTCGTCAAAGCTCGAGCATCTCCCGATTTCAGGCGACAGCAACGATGTATCGATCATTCCGAAGTCATCAGGGGAGGCGGCAGGTGTTGGTGTGTGTTCGGGAATGGAACTTTCAACCAAGCCGCGGATTTGCAAGGACTCCCCAGCTTGTATCAGCGTTTGCAGTCTCTCTTGGGGCACGCTGATCTCTCCGCGATACATAAAGTCAATGATGGCCTGCACCACCCAGCCGCGGAAGTCCTTCAGGACGATGACGGGATGCTTGCACGGCGTATCGGCGAACACTCTTTGGAAGAAGGGTGAGCAGGCGGAGAGAACCATTTTGTGGGCCCTGATGCTGGTCTCAGCACACACCAGGGTGACGTCAACCAATGTTTTCGACTGCAGTAGGGCGTCGAAAGCCCGCATCAAGTGGTTTTGGTGGTTGTTCCAACGCAGGCTGTAGTGGTCGGGTATGGTGGCTGCTGTCGTTGTGGTCACGTTGTTGGCCAGCAGGGCGCTGACCATGCCGGCTGTGTTGTTTGTGTTTGGAGTGGTCTGGTGTTCTGGAACGCCAGCCTCAGCTGGTGCCGACGTCCGTGGTGTGGTCAAAGCCAGAGCCTCTGTTGGTCTATCCATTTCCATAGCCATATTTAGTGGCGGAGGTGTAGGGGGCGTTCCTGGCGGAATATTGGCGGATTCGCCCCTCACAATATCTGAAATTGTAGCAGTGTCTGTCGCCGACAACGACAGTTTACGCCTTTTAACGATTTCCTCCGATTCCTTTAGCATTTAACAGAAGTATTTTGTTGTTTATTTTCGGAGTCTGTGAGTCCTGTCTCTTTGCTTTCTTAGTCCTTCGGTTGTCTGCGACTTTTCCAGACGCGTTGGGTAGACAGCAGACGAACACACACTGAATCACTCAGTGAGATCTCACGTGAGCTGTGATATATTTTTGAAGGTTACTTGGTTGTTCTGTCTTCCTGCTCGGTTTCGGTTTTAAAGATGATTTTTTTTATTTATTTATCGTTTTTTTTAGGAAATCACGTGGCGTTTCGTGGAATGTTGTGTAGATTGTTGTTGCTGTCAGTGTTTGGTTTAGGAAATCTACGCGCTCTCCTCTTAAATTTCTAGTTGAGTTTTGCTTCAATTTGGTTTACAGCCAGGTTGTTGTCATCGTTGCCGTCTTTGTAGCCACCTCTGCTGATGGTGTTCTGGAGCAAGCGGCAATGAATCGTTTTTTGTTCCCTATGGCCAAATATTCGATGGTGTTGTTACGTCTGCAATGGGAAGAAAAGAAGAGGAAATGAGATATTTTTTTCGTTTTCAAATCGAGGCATCGAAACAAAGGAGGGAGATTGAGGAACGGTGGTTTAGGCTTTGAGTTCCTGCTGCCTAGCTGCATATGAGGGAATGTGTCTGTGCGTCCTGTTGTATTAGCTTAGACACAATCTACACATTCGGCATAAGCTCTTTGACATATGCGTTGTGATAATATGTTAATGAGTGTTGTCATATATCATGTTAATACTCGCACATCTTGGAACTCTGGGGCAACACCTTGTGAATTCGAGAGATATGTACGTGTCTGCGTGCATATCCTTGAGGATATGTTTTGCTTTTGTTTCGTTTTTTTTTTTTTCAATTCGGTAGGAGGGGGTCTAGGATTCTGCCACTACTAAATTCATTCGGTTGGTTTAAAGTGAAGAACTCTAGTTAATCCAAAAAGTAAAGTTCCGGAGTTGTCGTTTAGAGTTTAAAGACAAATCGCACATTACAGTGTCAGTGTCGTAGGGGCATATTAAATTAAAACAAGTCAACTGAGTAAAACTTGAAACTGACGCACCCACTTTCGGTGGGAAAATTCAAGCCGAGGCAATCCTGTGCGTCCCTATGCGAGAAACGGCGCGGCAGGTGACACCAAGTGGTGGGGGTACGTTTGGTTTATCCTTTTGAATGTCTAGTGATATTGGTTTTTGTTGTTTTAAGCTTTGACGACTCTTGCTAGCAAACAAATTAAAAAAGTTTCATCTCTTCACACGCACATAGGTGCGTATGTGCCTTCAAATGCATGTCGAGGATATGCAGACATACAGATAGACTCCTTTCATGCAGACATTTCATCACAAATAAACAAATAACGACGCAAGTATAATTTAGTGCTTTTTTCTCGGATCCATAAGATCCCTAGTAGAAGAAAGAGTTGAACTTTGTCAGAGTGAGTGAGTGTGTGTGTGTGTAGTGTGGTGTGTGGCAGTAGTGCAAGCAAAATGTTGTTATTTTGGTAGTAATTTACTTTTAAAACAGCTGTTACCACAAATGAGTGTGTGTGTGTGTGTGGGTACTCTTTTTCTGGTTTCTTTCGTTCGTTGACTGATGCACCCCACCCCCCTCTTCACTCCAATCTTGAGTGCTCCAACATTTGTTTAACATCTTAAGAATGGTTGGGTTGTTTCTCACTGGGACATGGGTAAAGGAGACGAAGCCCTGGATGCGGATGTGAATGAGTATTTTTGTTGCTGCCATTGTTGAATGAAATGAAACCGCATATTAACACATGCTTCACGCTAAAATGCATTGCCCGGAATACGGAGCACAATTAAGCCAGTGAATTATTTAAAGTGAACCAGTTCCAACCATCTCCCCCAACTTCTTGCTTCTGAATGGAGAGGCCAACAGCCACCGGCTTGGGATAAACCAACCTTACTGTGATCTCAATTATGCCGACCGTCTGTTTGTCTTGCTGTGTAGGAGTTTTCGCTTTATTCCACAACGCTGCTCTTTTACGACTTTAATCGGGACTAGAATTGATGCTGGGCAATTAGATATTGAGGTTTGTTTTCCTTTTTGTATTTTATTTGCTTTCGACACGCCACGCCACGGCACATGTGGTGTTCACGCGACAAGTGTTTAACTGTAACTGTTTTCTCAAGCAATGCAAATAAATTTAGGAGCGGACCATGACAAGTGCATTGGACAACAACAAAACATCTTTGGCCAAACCGAACCGAAACAGACGAGGAAAGAAACTGTAAAACAACCCTCATAAAACAGATAATCAGGTGCGTGATCATATGTGTTGACAAACAAACACGCACACTGTCACAGACACCTCGACATGCTTCGTAGCCAGCGCAGGTAAATAATACAGCCCGAGAGCCGTCGATCAGGTATCCTGGTCGAGCGAGTGTACTTCTTTCTTTCCGTACAAATAAATTGAAAATGCACACACACACTTACAATTCCACACGAAGTGTAGTTTTTGTATTCCTCAAACGATTCAAAAGTTGCCATTTAACCGGTGCCAGTGGACAGTTTCTTTATTAGTTGCAAATATGTAATTTGTTTGGGAGCGACCCCGTGCATCTGCACGATTTATTACTTTTCATGGGAAAGTAGAGGGTTTTATTGCTTCGTTGTAAACGCGACAAATACCTATTTGGCGGAGGCGGGATGCCGTTCGCCGAAATTCATTTCAGGACTGAGGAACGCGATTTATTTACCGGATTAGGCGCTTCGTTTGGAAATATTTGTAAATAGTTTTGAACGGATTACCAGATGAAAGTGAAGGCTATAACATTTACTCAAGGACGCAAGTGCAACCAAACAACTTCCGCGTGATAGAATTTCGTAATTGTGGTCCACAAGAGCTTAAAACGATAAAAGTCGTGGTTATACACCAAGCCAGCCAGCTGGTATCTTCTCTTGCTGTCAAAACATATTGTTCAAATATTAGCTCGTTCGGAAATGCACTTGTACGGCGTAATTGATATTTACTTATGAGCAATAGGTAAGCCCTTTTCCATAGGTCGTCCCGGGGGCGAATTCAGACCTCTTCAATTTCTGTCGAGGGTATTGATATTCAATCATTGGATTGACAGGCTTCACCGTATCACAGCGACGTGCACAGGGTGTAACCTGGGCCACCATCGAAATGGTTACTCTCTGCCACGTTTTCTATTTTTACAAGGAACATTTTTGGTAATTTTTTTGATAGTCAGTCGTCAAAGCAGATTTGAGGATTATCCTGAAAAAGAGTTCCGTATTCTACCCTCACAGTCAAATTTAGAAACGTTTAAATTCATTCCTCGCTTTTTTTAAACTATAAAAAACCTCGACGGTCCGTTCCGTCGTCGAGTTCCGTATTCTACCTTCACAGTCAAATTTACCAACTTTTAAAATAATTCCTCGCTTTTTTGAACTATAAAAATCCTCGATGGTCCCTCGGTGTGTCCTCTTGTAAATTTGAGAATATTGTTATGCTTTTTGTATATTGTATTGCTTTTATTTTTACATTATTAACTTAGCACAATTAGGAAGGTGACTTTGTCCAATCGCAGCTTTATTTTTTTTTTTTTCAAAATTATTGCTCCATTCTATAACCTGCAAGAATCTACAATTTTTGCAATTGTTTATCGTAGTAACATTCTTGCAGGTCTGGAGCAGATACTATATCTATGACAACATATTTTTCGTTGTATTTACACAAATTAGATTTGGGAACCAGGAAGGAAATACAGAAGTGGATATAATGTCATTATCTTAAATTAATTGTGCCCTAATCATTAAAATGGCCCGGCTATAATTCCTAACAGCTTTAGTTGAATATCGTGTAGATTTCAAAATGAAATATCGTAATATCTTCCTTTTACAAATATTTAGTCCACTAGCTCAGCCGGGTTCTTTATTCACAATATTTTTTCACACAGATCTACCCGCAAATTTGCTACCCATTGGATCCTGTCAAATTAGTCCACTGTCATATTGCTGGTTTCGAGTCCATATCCAGTCATATATTAGCTGTATTACCAATCGTAATGAATTGAATCGTTGTAAAAACGTTCATTAACAAACTGATCAATTGGTGTTGGATGTAAGCGTCGATCTAGAACAGTGTGCTTATCAGGGAGCCTTTAGTCGAAGATCCACTTATCCAAAGCAAAATACCTGTTCCTATTTCCTTCCTATTTTTGTTCTTCTTCAATCATATTGAAGTATTGATTAATTCCGAAAACATTAACACTGCTGTCCTTCTCTGCACTCGTCGATAGCCGAATTATTTATTCTAATTCAGAACTATTCTGAAAATTTTATCGTTTCAAAATTAAACAAGAAATCTGTTTATTTTACAGATAAAACCTAACCGTCCTAGCCTGGATCCAGCTGTTTTCGAAACGCTTCACTATATAGATCTCCTCTTTACTTTAACCGACTGTGGATGTAGAAAATTTTGCCAAATGGAAACAATTTTGTTTTTGCCGACGCCGACTAACTCTTGGTAGTTTCATTGGACCTTTAAAATGCAGCCGCTACTAAAACACACAGACACAATCACAGGCATACATTAGTGGTTTATAGAAACAGTTATTAAAAATTAAAACCAATTGGACAACGTCGCGATTGCGGAATTTTCAATATTGTCCAGTCATGTTGTCCTTACTTTGAAGTCTAATTAAATGCTCAAGCTTTCATGCGGCAGGACGCATTTCCAGAATAGGTTATTGTTTTGTTTTTAACAATTTAATTTTGTTTTATTATTTACACCTTTTTGTTTCTATTGTCACTTCTTATTGGAGCGTAGTGAGATTCCATTGAGGTTTTCCAATTGGATTTTTAATCGGCACTTCTCTTGAATGGCATACCTTTCACATTAATTTCGAATTTTTTAGTTATCACTCGCTTGAACTTTTGAAAAAGCGATTTGAATTTTAACCGTTTTCAAACAACCGCGCACACACATCTCCGAAACACAACTCAAAAAGATGACGGCAAATGTCTGTGTCTTGGTGGCAGCATTTAGGTTCACACACCCACACGGAGCAGGACGAACTGAACACACACGGGCTACAACTACAACTGATGGATCCAAAAAACCGAAAGAGTTACGTGTATATTGCGCGTATGTTTACACCGTTCAACTGTTTCGAAACGACTAATTCAAGTGATTTAACCAAAAAAATATATGTGAATGTATGGCATACATAGAGGACGCGCACACAACCCACACACATACACACACACACATACGCTGGCTCGTTCATTCATTCACTCACTCACTCGCCCAATCGTGCACACGCCACACTCCAAACCCCACCACCGTTCTCGACGTCTATATCGCAACCACTCCGCCGCCTGCCTCAGCGCTTACTGCTCACTGAAAGTGTAACATACCCGATAAACAACAATACAACGACAGCAACAACAACAACAACAACAACATCCTCATCACATATATACATATATAAATGCGAGGAGTAGACGACACACAACATACACACCGAGCGACGATGTGTACATTTCGCACGGAATAAAAAAGACACACACACGCGCGGGGGAAAATTGGTAACATCCACATCCATCGACACTGCCGACTCATGTGAGAAGGGTACAGACGCGACTGCGATTCCGACGGTAACGCCAGAACCAAAGCCCACGATAACGTCGGCAGAGCGCAAGACCGAAATGGAAAAACCGTTGAGTCGAGTGGGGCGATGTGGCACGTTTGGTGTGGTAGGGTTGATACAACTTGAGATGGAAATGATGTTAATGCCGAGAAGCGAGCATGAAGCGGCTTTTCAGTCGGACCAGCAAATGTGCAGAGGAAAACACTTTTCATACACGCAACACACCCCCACAAAACACCGATGGCCGTATGACATATAGGCATATCGACTCCTTTCTCCATTGGATTGGATATGTGGCAGCGATTGTCACTGTGTGTGTGTGTGTATGTGTACGAATATATATGAAGGATGAGCGACTATTTATGGATGTTTATGTTCGATGGGGAGCGACGAATGGGTATGCCACATTCCGTTAACGGTAGGACGAGTTCGATAGGATTTGTTGCATCGAACTTTTACGTTACGTATACGCCGGATACACCGATGGCTTACTGTAGTTCTAGGCCCAGAAGAAATGTAAACGTTTTGAAATAGTCGCCACAGTGAAATTAGAAATCAAAATACTCGTAAGTTGCCTTCTTTTACCATAGCCAGCTAGCACTTCCAACCGGTACCCTCAATGTTGTCGTAACACATGCTGACAACGAATTTAGGGATTTGTATATTGGCATACGTTCAGAACGTGCGCAGCACAACATAACTCCTACGACAGGATGAATGTACTCTAATCATCTATGTGTGTAAGTCGCTGTATGTATCTGGAATGTGACATGAACTCTTTAGCTCCAGCTGCCTGCAGCTCTGGGGAGGCTGTCGTGGTCAGAGGTGGTGCCATCTAATGATGAGCGCGAATTGTATCAACTACCAGCAGCGGCTACACTTCCATCAAAATAAAATACAAATAAACCTACACACACCCCATACACACACACACACACATAGATGCGAATCCAAATATGTGACATACTCTCTATTTTCTCTTGTCGTACTCTTTTTATGGAGGTTGGAAAAACAATTTTGATGCCGTTGTAGCATGGATGGATGGATAGATGGTCGGAATGACGGACGGATGGATGGCTAAACGAAAGATTTGTAGATTCCCCGTTTCGTTGTCGTCGGTGTATGTAAGGGAGGGCTTTGCATGAGTTTCTCCTATCCATTCGCATCGTTCTCTTTCTTTCTAACACTGAGCGTGCTTACACATATTTACGTACATGTAACTGATGCACATATGAGATACTGCGGCGGTGGTGGTGGGGTGGGGTGCCAGTGGCAAATGAAAATCGTGCACCCATCTGACTCATTTATACAGCGAATGGAGAAACGATGTATATTCGATGTGTGTGTGTGTTTGTGTGTACGTGCATAGCATGTGTGTACATATGTACATTTTCCAAGCTGTGCTATTTGCCAAACATCAGGTCCACCCCCCACGACAGCGAGCTCGAACTCATACAAGTTGGAATTGATTTCCACACTGTTGACGTTATGTGACAGCCGACGCAGCAGCTACTGCTACTGCTGCTGCTGCCTATGATTGCTTGCCATGCTGGCAGTTGCCGTGCCAGCTACATTCGATTTTTCTTTTCCTCCCTACATATGAGCAGCAGGCAATGGTTGTGCCGATGTTATACATATGAGTGTTTGTGACCACACATACACACATGGTTGTTGCTGTTGTTGTTATGTGCAATTTTCCCATTTGTGGCTGTGTTGAGTACGAACTCACGATTGTCGTCATGCATTGGCTGATAGACAAAAATATCAACGCCTCTTTTGCCTACGGAGTGTGCATGTGTGTGGGTTTGTGTATATAAAGCTGGTGTCATACGTGGAGAAGAGTATGTGCTCATGCACGCACGCACACACACACACACACACGGAACAAACATGTACAAGTCTGCATTTGTTCGTTTGACTGAGTGCATTTTGGTCAAATCTGCGGGGGTATGTGCGTTTGTGTTTGTGCCTTTGTGGCAAACACACATGTATTTAATTATTAAACAAATAGGAGCATCGAAGAGAACAATTGCATTTAAAATAAAGTGTCCGAGGATTTTGTGTGTCACAATTAGGACACCACGCATCATTTGTCATAAAAACCCGAACAATAATGAAAATACTAATGGTTAAGAGAGGAAAAGTCTAAACATCGATGACGGGTGTTTGCTTAGGTTTTTTAATTTAATCATATTTACAAAAAATATTGAAACATTTTTGAATGTAAAATAATTTTTTGACACTTGGAATCTGATCTGATCTGTCGGTGTCATTCCTAGTGTTCCCCACGGTATTTTTGACCTTTTGAGATATGGGTAATTTTTAAGGGGTTTCAGTATACTCTTGATGAATTTTAGGACAGTTTTTCGATATTTGTTCTAATGTATCACGATAAAGTGGCTGGATTTTCTAGTTTGATAGTCTCTAAACCTGAATGGCAATTTCTTATTAAAAGTTAAGAATTCAAAATCTCAAAGATCAGACAAATTGTTGCACATTTGTTCCACGTAATAAACACTATTTTGCAATTGTGACCAACGTGTGGACATGAAACAAAAATTGAAACAAAAAAATTCTCTGTAACTTTTTTAATTCGAACAGACTCGCGCCCAGTCAAACATAAAGGAATAATTCAAGGTCATTTCCAAGCAATTCGAGATGCAAACTTGGATATGACTTTTTCTCAAAACAGGCAGTTTAGTTAGTTCCTTTTTTACCTCGAAAAATTCTGCCCAGGGACCGGTTATGCTCCGTTCTGTTTACTTTGTTGATTTCTCGTCAAACTTCAAGCCATTTAAGAGAGTTACTGCTTAATATACGACACTTCAAATGCTCAATGAGGTTGCAGAGATATCCTCATAAATTGCAGTGAAAATGTAAGCGGTTTTAATAAAAAATAAATCTGATACGCATGGCTAACATCTGTTTCACAGACACATCCATTCGCGCCGCACTGAATTCAAATTCAGCCAAAAAATGACACCTTGAAATCAGAATAATCGAAGCGGAAACAGAATTCAAAATGAAAATTAATAACAAAAGCGATTATGCAAATAGCTACATGTGCAGTGCACACATACATGCACGATCACACGTCCCAGTCTCGCATGGCTATGGGAGGCTTTTCATATGCAAATTCCTTATCCGTCACTCGGGGGGAGAGAGCGAATCCCTCACATGCGATTGTACACCTCGGCTCGGATTCCATTCGGCGGTGTTCGTTGAAATGTGCGCGCGACGCGTTAGACGTCACGTTATCCTTCGGCGCAAACCGAAATGTTCTTCTCGCGCACATTCGGCTGTTATTCGAAATTTATGCAAATTTCAAAACAGAAAAAAATGTGAGTGAGAGCACGAGGGTTGCTTCGAAACGCACCGACAAAAAAAAAGAAAAAAACAATAATTGGAATATTATGCAAATTATGTTTTTCTTTTCTTCCTTTCTAACAAAAAATGTACCTGGCATCATTTGCTGCCTGCCAGATTCTATGGGTAAACTGCAATCTTCCATCTATAATAATATCGACGGCTGCTGCTTTTCTAATCCTTTTCGTTTTTGTAGGAGCTTGTTAGGGGTCATTGTTAAAGCAACAACACACTCCGGGCAACCGGTAGGATAGAAAAACTAATAGCCAACAACCCGGGGTGACTGCGCATGTCTGTCCCCCTTTTCCTCTCGATGAAGATGCAGATGTAGTTTCATCAACGAGTTTTACATTCAAACTAAAAACTGTTCTGATTTCGGCTTGAGAATTAGCACGAATCATACTCTGCACCATATCTTCGAATCGAGTCAATGTTCTTCAAACTGAATCCTCCTTCATCAAGTCGTAGATAGATTTTTATGGCGACTTTAAGATTTGTCGCCATGGTCTTATTAATTAGGGCGAATGGCTCTTTAAAGGAACAGGACAGAAGGAAACCATCTATCAGAAATTAGCAACTATGCAAACAATACCTTAGCCAGTTTCTTGTCCGGTGCGATTGTGTGTTCATTCGGCCATTTGTGTCGGCCATTCTGTCTTTGTGTTCGTTGCTTTGTCGCCGTTGTGCTACGAATATCAAACAATGCCGTGGCCAAACCAAGTGTTTGATGGCTACGTGTACAACTACAACAGAAGGGACACAAAGCAAAAGGTCCAAGGAGCCTTCTCCATGGCTCAGTACATAATGGAAAATTAAAAAAAGAAAAAAAAAAACGAAAAAGGAAAGGAAAAATCCAAACCAAGTAGCGGCAAAAGGCATGGCGAGTGGTCAGAAATTTTCACTTCAGTTTAAACTAAGTGGACACAACAGATGGAAATCATTACAGCACGGATAAATTTACTCGCGCAAACGTTCAACGCAACAGTCGAAGGCTTCAAGTGAAATTAATCGATCATAAATCGCCAGAAATAGCCATCTATTGATGCGATATGTTGGACACATCGCGATGCAATCACCGCCGCGATATCGTGTACATCGCCACTACTGCCATGCACGACTCGGATTTAAATCGTCCTCGCATTGCCATGTAAGAATCGTCCCTCCA